TTAATATCCGTTTGGATTTATATAAATACCACCATTTCATAAGTAAATAATTTAAGTGCTTTTAATTATATTGCCTTTAATAAGTTAATTTGTAATTAAAAAGTCATAGCAAAATGAATAGCAAAATAATTTCACTCTTATTTGCTTTTGTCTTAATTATCGCTGGTATTCATAATTAATGACTAAATTGATAAATTTATCTTGATAAATTTGTATTAATTTTATTTTCATTAACTTATTAGCCGTAAGCTCTGTGAGCGCACAATTTGGTTATGGTGGCCGAGGTGGTTATGGTGGTGGAGGATATGGACGGGGTGGTTATGGAGGTGGTTATGGACGTGGAGGCTATGGCGGTGGAAGACATCATGGAAGACATCATGGAAGGGGAGGTTATGGATATGGCCGTTAGGGATGGCATGAAATATTCTCTAAATAATAAAGCATCAAATAATTAAATTATATTATTTTTTTTATTCAAATACAAATATGCTCATGAATATAATTATTTTATTTTACGCAAATTTTCTTCAAATCTATATATTTATATAAATTTAAGTATTGTGAGTAATTATATTTTCATCTTATTTGGGTTTTATTATTAAAATTTGTTTGCATTAAAAGTTTTTATTTATTTATTTTCCAACACAATAAATAATCTATTAATTATAAAATTAGTAGATTTTATTAAATCATAAAGTTATAATAATTATAACAAAAAAATTGAGATAATATATACCATAAAACAAAATGAGATTTTGAGGCACATTGCTGTATAGAGAGATTTATGTTAATTATAAATATAATATTTAACTGAATTTTTTGAATAAAAAACTTAAGGCTTTGAATGTTTCTGAAATATTGTCGGATAATATATAAAATTACTAAGAAATATAGCAAAACTTTTGATTTCCTAAAGCAAATGGCTTTAAATTACAAAGAAATCAAAATTTATGTAAACATTTATCGCGAGCATTTATATTTAGTTTCCTTTAAAAAATTTATATAAATTGAATTACAATCACAAAAATAATAAACTCTAATAATATTTGCAAAATAGATTAAAATTGATTTTAAATAATAACGGATTGAGTCAAATAAAATGAATCAAAAGATAATAATTCTATTTTTAGCCGTTTTTCTGGTCATCTCTGGTATGATATATACTGTATAACCATAATATTTAACATGATTTAATATTAAATATATTTCTTAGCCGTCACTACAGTTGAGGCTCAGAGAGGTTATGGAGGCGGAGGAAGAGGTCATGGCGGAGGCAGAGGAGGCGGAGGGAGAGGTCATAACGGCGGCAGAGGAGGCGGAGGAAGAGGTCATGACGGCGGCAGAGGAGGTGGACATCGAGGTGGCGGAGGATATGGAGGAAGAGGGGGTGGTTATGGAGGCAGAGATTGATAAACACCATGACATATGGGACCGAAACACACACTATAATCAAAAATCTTCCTTTGAAAATGATATCTCTAACCTACTGTACAATTTTTAAAATACAAATTTCTAATCATTTTATCTTTATATCGATATAAAGCTATATATAAACGTTAAGTAAAATACTATATTGTACTAAAATACTGAATATTAATAAATATTACATTAGAAAAATATGTTATATATTTTGAATTTATCGAAAATCTATTTTAAAAGTGCTATTGTATTTCATCCCCACGTATTTAAAATTACTATATCATACATTGGTATCATGGTAGCAATGCTAAATAAAGTTTATTTTTATCTAATATTTAAGCCTAAATAATCTTTAAAACTCTTTATTAAAATAGAGTTAAACAATGTAATTAGTAAACACTTATGTGCTAATTAAGAACAATTAATTTGTGTTAATGATTGTTAGAATTAATATTTCTTATAAATCTACAACAATACATGTATATTTAGAAAATAGAAAATATGTATTATATTTGTCGACAGACAAACAACTTTTACTAAAGTCTTATCAAATATCCGTATAAATAGAGAGTTACAAAAAAATTATAACAAAAATGTAATTATTTATAGTTTGTCCACAAATCATCAACAATTAATAAAATAATAATATTAATCTTTGTAGTAATCTTAGTTCTCTCAGGTAAAGTTACTTATTTTGATTAATTAAAAATATTTAATTTGTTTATAATAATTGATTAGTTGAATCAGATTATAGAGGAATATGTGATAGAAAAATATATCATAGAAGAGGACAGTTTGTTGGATATACACCACAAAATCACCAAAGAATTCTCCATTAAAAACATTGATAAATAGGCACATGGTTTTTTTAATATCTAAAATTAATTATAAAATTGTTTAATTACATTTATATCACATACTCAATAGCTAACATTTTAAATGTTTAAATATAAAAATTAATAAATGCCTTTTATTGTTTAAAATTATACAGATAACTATAATGTATACAAAATATATATTTTATTTTTTAATATTGTATTCCAATAATATTATTCATTGGATTCTTAAAATTAATATTTGTATTTTCATATAATGAGCACGCAAAATTGACATTAACTTAAAACGTAATGAATAATTGATTTTATTTTCTTTGAAGTCTAATAATAATTAAACATTTTAGTGCAGATTTTTCCGTTCAGTTTCTACAATCTCTTGCTGTCAAAAGTCGTCAAATAAATGCCATTTTAATATTTTCTGTCAAACGAGTGATTAATAAAATAATTCATAAAATGGATAGAAAAGTCTTGATCATAATACTAAGTGTTTGTCTGCTAATTACAGGTAAAATCAGCAAGATTAATTGTTTTAATAATTTAAATATACACAATTGATACAGAAATGAGTGAAGTGGTGGGTCAGGCCAATGGTGTTGGAGTCAAGAAAGGTGGCGAAAGTGCCTTTTCTCGTGGAAAGGGTCGAACGGGAAGGGATAAGGGTATGCGTCGGGCCAGTCGTCGGGGCGGTCGAGTCGGACGAATGGGGAAGTAGTCTCTCATTTGAATTATAAATGACAACTTAATTATGACAAATCTGTATAAGTTTCATAAAATGCCAAAATAATTCACTTAATTTATATATTAATATGCGTATCCAATATCCAATATTTATTGAGTTGATTAAGCATGTATTAATTTTAAACTTATTATTTTTGATTACAATTTATTAATATCTTGTAAATACAGTTGCTTTAACATTATTATTACAATAAAACTGAAAAATGTATTCAAAAAATGTTGAATTAAATGTTAAATGAAACTATATTTCAAATTGATGTCAATGAACTTATTTAATCAAATTGAGAACTTTCATACAAATTGCAAATGAATTGAATGTTATATTTGGCTCTTTAATCATTTTTAATTGAATATTTTTATTTTATTGAAATGCACTTATATCTATTGTGTTTTATATTAAATTTTAATTATATTCTCATATTTGCTGAAAATGATGCAATTTATCCAATATGTAAGTAAACTTAATTTTTAATTTTATCATGAATTTATCTTTATAATAATTTAAGTTATGACATTAATACTAACAAGTGACCGAATTTATTATATTAAACCGGCTAAAATAAATGCATTATAAAAAATTATTGATATTTATTTATAATGAATATTTTATAAATAAAAATTAGCAAAATAAGAATAATTCATTATTTAATATGATCTAAACTCAAAATGCAATTATTACTCAACCATCAATTTATTTGATATACTGTATACATTTTATACTTACTATTAAGTTGGACCGGGAGGTACCCGAACATTATTTACAGCTAATGAGAGCTATTATTGTTTGGATAATTCAACCATTAAATCAATTAAAAGACTAGAGACACAGTACGTGGAGATTCCGTGCACTGGCATCCGATATATGAGTGGATCCAATCATTTTAATCTTACATTTAATGATGAATCAGAATATTCATTACAAATAGAAAGTGTGCAGACATTGGAAGGCATCCTTAGATGTAAGCATTTTCGACATTAATCTGTTAAATAACAAGTATTATGATTTACTTGACAGCAAATATAATACTATTATCTTTGGCCACTTTATCGGATGCCAAATGTGGAAATGGATATTATATACGATTGTCAGCAGCCGTTCCGATGCCTAAAAACAACTGTAACTCTCCGTATGGCACCCGACAGGTCAGAGTAGTTGACACTCTGTTCAAAATAATAGGGGGATTGTGTGACTCTACCTGTCGAGGCAATGGCCAGTGGTCTTATAAGCCGGGCATTCAGTTTAATAATATCATTACTCAATCTAATGAAAGGGATTTTCCACTCGACTCATGAATTTGTAATTTTAATTAATATACAGTACAGGTAACTTTATTGAGTTTAAATATTTTATTCAAATAATTATTAGTTTAATGAGTAAACAGTAAAATATATTCCAAACTATATTTGTAGTAAAATGTAAATAATTATCACATTATGTACAGTACAGTGAGTGCTTAAGCTTGGCTCTTATTTTCTATGAAACATTTATTTGAATGCAAACCACTGTATGAATAAATTTACATTCAATTTATAAGTTCATCAAATATTTATAGTACTAAATTCCAACATTTACTTATTTATCGCGATATTAATTTATTTAAAAATAAAATATTAATATTTCAATCTATTGCTAAATATAAGATAATTAATATAATCATTGATTAACTTTATTCTTGGATTTTCTATTCTCGAGTTCAGCGATAAGTCTTTCATTGGTTTTACATTCCTATGAAAAGTGGAAAATTAATGTTTTAACAAAAGTAATGATACAGTGCTGTACTGTATGAATAAATATGTGTAAAATACAAACACAAACCTCTTTAAAATCTTTGACTCCTTTATAATAGAGTCGTTGCTTTTCAATTAACTCCAAATAAGAGTCATTCAATTGGTCTCGTTTTGCTTTCTCCGTAACCCTTCTGTTCTCTACTTTGAGTTTTGTTTGCTTTATATTCTCCACGATTTGCTCGAATTGTAGTAAATATTCTTCTCTTACATTATTTGAGTTTTGAGCTCTAAATCAGTATAAAGAATAGCGTATAAAATGAGGATCATTTACACCATATAAGAGGACTGACTGATAGAAGTTGTCTAATATAGAGCCAATCAAATTGAGCTCTTTTTCCAAATACATCCTCTCGTCGTCTAATGTGTTGTAAAGCGTATAAAACTTTTTCGTTTCGTTATGTTTTGCGGCCACTAATCAGTTAAGAAATACAAACGCAACCAATTAATCATTATTTAGAAATATTTTACGCAACAAATATGGCTTATATAACCCTGATTATAAACAAACCCTGATTATATAACTCAATGAATCTCTTCTGGTACTGCGAGAGCTCAGCTCGGGTTGGGATGTCATCGAACTTGCGTTGAATTTTGGACACATTCTTATTAAGGTCTGCCAACTGTTTCTTATACTTCGAGTGCTTCTCCTCATAGGTTTGTACTTCAGTTTCCACTTCAGTCTCGTCTTCGGTGTCTGTCGTCTGATTAGACAACTCCTCGATTTGTTTCTCTAATCTCTGTTTCTCTTCTCTACAAAACTGTTTGAATTCTGTCTTCTGTTTCTTAAGCGCATCCAAAATGTGACTCAAATTCTTCTTCTCCTCCCTCTCCTCCACTCTCTCATTGTCTTTGGGTTCAAACGATTCCTGTTTTTGTCTCACAATTTCAATTCGTTGTCTAAATAACTGAATTTTATCTCTAATTTCGGATTCCTTTTGTTTGGCGGCCGACAACTCCTTCTTCGCCGCCTCCACACGACTCTTGAGCTCCCGTTCCTTACGTTCAATACTATTCTCTTCTCTCTCTAATCTCTTTCGGTTGTACTCTTCGGCCAACTTTTGTATTTCATCGGATTGTGCGCCGACTATAGCGCCCACAAAAGCGGCCGATATTTTGTTGGATTCCGTTTGCATTGAATTCATTAGCGAATCGTTTAATCGCGAATCCGAGTCCTTTTGCTCACTATTTGGTTCACTAGTCTTCGGAGCGCTGGAAGTGCTATCACCAGTACTTTTGGTGTCAAAGTATCCGTACTCAAGAAGTGTGGTCCGCACTCTAACATCAGGTTCAACCAGTTTATGTCGTGCCGGGTGTCTGTATTTGCGTTTGGGATGCCTTACATCATCGGGTGATGTAATTGTGGACGATTGGTCTGTGTCTGTGTGGACAGTATGGCACCGATTGAACTGCCAGTTCGCGTAATTCTTCAGGTATTCACTCATCTGTTGTCTCGTCTCAATGGACTTCTTAACCAACCATTGGATGACTGAATAAATTAATTTATAATTACATTAAAACATAGGATTCCAAGACATGAATAGAGAATATGATTCATTTGTGTGATAATCACCGGGGAATATATGAATACAATCCATGCCCTGGATCTGATGGGGCTCTATCTTATGCGGACACGACATGGTCTGCAGGACTCGCACTATCTTTTCGGTCAGAGCTCTGAAAACATGGAAAGTGTGACACAAATGAGTGGTTATATCGACCATCACTTTAAGTGGTACTGAACCCACATCTTCTGACCGATAGTGAGACTCTCCTGGAATAGTATATCGACGTCGAGGTCCACGTTAGACATCTCGATGGCCCAACTCATGCCTCCCACCACCTCGTGATCGACACAAATGAAGAGTTCAAGTGATGAACAGAACAGACAAATGAGAGACTAATGAATACTTTGTCAAAATTGTTGAGTCCTTTGATTCTGGCCCTGAAATAGCCGCCGGCGACCAATAAGTTGATCATCTCTTGCATTTTGACGGACTGCTCCTCGTCTTCGCGCACATCCGGGATGACAGCCATCGATGGGTGCGTGGCTTGAGTGCGGACACGACTGGCCGGCACTGGTTTCCTGTCGGACATCATCGCACAGTCGTATGGTTTGCTTGCGGACCAGATATTCAATACTCCCGTTCCTCCTACACCTGCCGTTCCCCACCAAACATGCGCTCAAAACACAGATAATATGATACGAAAAACATTTTCAATTCACGACCAGAGATGACATGATT